TGTCAACACATTCAAGCTGCATATGCACTTAGAATGCAACTATTTTCTATATACAAACACGTTTTCTTATTAGTACATACAGTTTTGGAATGGGTGGCATATAAGTCACCTATGCCCTTAAAGACACAAGTTTTGTGCATTTTTTCCGCATATGCACTGGGATTCTTCCAGGTTTAAGCAGCTCAGTAACAGCTCTTTGCTTAAAATATTTGTTGATCAAAAGAGTTGGCAAACTCCAAGGGCACTTCCATTTCCCCCACTTCCATTTCCCCCTTGCCTCAGAAAATGTGTTTTCCTGCGTATTCCATGGTAATTTGCTGTGGCACTGCAGATGTAACGGCAGACATTGTAGTGCCATACATGACTGCTGACTGTGGGTAAAACTTAAACTATGCCAGTAAAGGTTCATCATGATAACCAGAAGGGCATGAAACCAAGTGAAAGAAACGCTTAAGCAACCTTTCCAAACAATTGTATCTCTATGCTGCCTTGCTTGTGCATTGATGCAACGAGTTACCATGAAGTATGCAAAAAAATATTGCACTTTCTTGAGCAGGGAGAGCAAATTGGAAATTGCACTTCCATATGCTACACCGCTACACCAGTTCCACTGGAACTGCCGTGTCAACCAAAAGGCGACCTGGCAGTCTAATCTCAAAGATCACCAATGCTAGAGTCCACTCGTCTCCTCATCGAAGAGTCCACTAGACTTGGCTTGCCCAGAGCTAGACGAGGAAGTGCTGCTTGAACTTCTAGCTGATGAAGAACTCTTGTCCTCCTTTTTTTCTTCTACCCAATCAGCTTTGTTCTTCTTCTAACATCCGGGTCCATGCCAGTCCCGCTGTAGATCACCTCCAAATCCTTTTGGCCAATCTCTCGCATTGACTCCTCATTTTTGGGACATTTGGATCTTCTCCCCTCTTCTGCCTTTTGCTCCCCTTCTTCCTCTTCTTCTCCTTTTTCTTTGGACTTCGACTAGGTCTCCGCTCACCATCCTCTCGTCTTTGGGCCCCTCTCAGCTTGCTAACTCATCTACCTCTGCAGCGTCTTCAACCACAGCTCGTAGATTTGTCATCCAAGGTGCCCTCTGGAGGTCCGCGGCCATGAAGGTCTTGCTATGAACTAGCAGTTCACCTGTACGGACCTGCCCACAGTCTGCATCGCACAAATGCAGGCTCACTGCCCGCTGGGCTTTCCCAGATAAGGTACGCAGAAGGTCATCCTGCGTTCCACTGACAATGAAGTTGGCAAAAAGCTGACCTCCTTGAGTCCACACTTCTGTGATCTCCCCCGCCAGGGCGACCTTCTTTGCATAATAGATTACCTCATCCATGACAATGGGACCCGACCTCCTCACCTCTGCTCAACTGGCCTTGCCGCAGGCCACCCACCACCTCACGCCGGCTCACAGGGCTCCCAATTCCAATGGTGATGGAGAGTCACGGTGGCGGAGGAGAAACCACCGGAAGCAGCCACCACACGGCTCACCTCGTCCCTCAGCTCTCCCTCAACCACGCGGAGTCGGCAGCCGGCGCAGTCGACGAACGAAAAGTAGCAGCCCCCCGTGCACACGCACCAAATCACAGATGCGCGGAAGGGCCGCAAATAGGGCACCGGCACGTGGCCAAGTGCCCCCACATCTAACCCTGTTGTTATGCATGACGCTCGCAACTCATGTGAACAGCTGACACAATGGCACACCGCCTTTTTACACTGGGGGACTTCGTCGCTCTGCACCGTACGGTGGGTAGGCTATGCATCAATTGCAGATGCGAAAAAGCCACAGCTGCAATGGAAAAAGTTGACAAAAAGCTCGAAATCCTAGGAGCGAAGATCAAGATCGACAGGTGGAGGTCGAGCATGGCGTTGCCAATGGACATGGAGCGTTCGCATTAATTGACACAGCAGGCGTAGTTTCTGGATTTGAAGTTCAGTCAAAGTGGCTCGAAGTTGTTGAGCGTCAATGCGAAGTGGAAGCTCAGCGACGGCCATGTCCATGTCGGCCAAATCATCGGCCATATCTTGAACGTCATAGATGAGATCGTGAGGCTCCTGGATGTTGCCTTCGAGCGCAAAGAGCGGCAGCAGCAAGGTCTGAAGTGACACAGGCTGAGGGATGTGTATCAAAGCCATCCAGAACTACAAGTAGATACAAGTAAAGAAAAGTCAAAGACATGAAGTGAACTGTCAAAACATGAAGTGATTGTAGCGGGCTGTCTGTCAGAGTCAGGGGGGAGACTGACGGGGACATGAAACATGAAAGGAGTGGGGGGGGTTTTTGTTTGATTTTTGGCCGCCACTTGACCCAAAAACAAACAGTGCAAAGTGTCAACCAAATGAGTTGGCGTGCAACATTTGCACTCTTCACGTCTTCTTAACAATGAAATATCATTAGCCTTGTTATGCACGATGTTCGCAACTCATGTGAACAGCTGACACAATGGCACACCGCCTTTTTACACTGGGGGACTTCGTCGCTCTGCACCTCCCCCATTCACATCAGAGGGACAAAGTTCTAAGGTTTGCAGAACATCACTGACATCGACATTGATTGATTGCCAGCAAAGGGTCAAGATTGGACACATTGCCCCGGGACGGGGAATCGGCCACATTAGCCGCACTGGGCACTCTCTCGTACCAAGCAAGCACACTGGTTTCTTGCTCCCAGTTCAACACACCACCAAAAATACGGTTGTCTATGCTTCCACCACCGCGACCTGACACAAGTCGAGCAAGCACAGCTTCATTGTCAACAAAGATGACGACGCGGTCATTCTGAAAGACACCTTCCGCCGGGAGAAGAGATACGCAGGCTACCAGAACAGCGAGTGCCTCTAAATCCAAGATAATCGTCTCCTTTCCAAGAGGGTTCAAAAGGGCAACTTGATCACGGTTTACTTGGGCAGAGTAAAATGACATGAGGTTGCCGTGGCCGTCATAGAGAACGGCTCCCAAACCACCAACACTATCTTCATAGCAAGCATCTGTATACAGATGAAAGACTCGACCGGTCTCTGCCAGGGCAGTTCTGGGGCCCCCAAGAACGATGCGCTCCCTGAGAAATTGGAGGCTCTCCACAACATCGTCGTCCAGTGAGGCATCGCCAACTGCATGCTCGTACTTGGAAAGTTGTTGCATGTGTAAACCCGCTACACGGCCAAAAATTTGTGACTCAGCAAATACCAGCCTTCCACGTAAAACACGCATCTCCGCAGTCGAAAGTGTCTGCCTTTCCAAAATTCCATCAATGCTGGCCACAAGGTCTTTGACCCGAGTTTCCACGTTGCAAACGGTGTACTTTCCAAGGAGGGATTCGGCCAAATCAATCTGGACACCGAGGATCCTGGCTATGGGCCCAAAATCCGCTTCCTTCTCAGACGATATACCTCCCAGCCTACCAAACGGAAAAACAATTGTTGCGCCATGTCCACATGCCTGGATTCCGCAGCAGAAGAAACCAGGTAGAAGTCGTCAAAGAAGACTGTCCAGTGCAGCTTGAAGATGGCCACACCGATGTGCCAGAGGGCATGCGACACACGACAAAAGCCCATGACCGCCGCACGAGCACCAAAGGGGAGGACCTGGCTCTGAAAAGCCTGCGACTCCATCGACACAGGATCAAGGACACAAATGTAGGCATCATCCAATGCATCACTTGACAGCGGAAGGTTCTTGTACGCCTTCCTCAAGTCAATCGTTTTCCCTTGGAGTTCTTCAGGACCAAGTAGTTGATTGTTTCACCCCAAACCTCCGGGTGAGTATGGCCGAATCAGGCAACTCATGCGAAGAGAAAGGGCCTTTCAGCCATCCCCGCTCGCACTCCTCAAGTGTAATCCGGTGAACCTCACTGGCCAGGTCCTTATCCATGCATTTCTTAGTTGACTGCCACGTTGCTGGCCTCGATATGCTGGACATCTCTCGAACTTGGCCTGGAGTAAGGGTCGCATGAAGCAACTTTTGAGGGAAACTGTTTTCTGTCGGAATTGTTCCCATGAGGTCAAATCCTCGAGCGATCTGATGCGCCAAGTCTTTGTCAGGGGAGCCCGAAGCTTGGACCAACTCCTCTGCAGGGCCAGATTTTTGCCCATAAGCATATCTTTTGCATGCGACGGCGATTTCTCTTTGCCTGAGTTTCCATCGGCACTGAGTTGCTGTGCTCTGAGTAGCCACTTGCGCATCTGCTCGGTGCAATCACAGGCATGGGACCACAGTGAAGAGCCTTTCCCACTGGTAAAGAGGTTTGCAAGAACAGGATGCACACCATCCATGAAGTGTCCCATGGGTGGGAACGTCCGGCTGCTTCTCTGACAAAGTCTGCAGGTGTCCAGGCTATTCCATATTCGGCTTCCCATTTCTCAAGGCCCTCTTCATCCCCTATCAACAACAGGGGCTTGAGATGCTTGGAATGAGGTGGCAGCATGGCAAGGGCGGAGTGACCTTGCATTCAAGAGAAATTGGCACTGTAGTGGAGCACTTTTCAGGAAGGGCTTCAAGGGCTTGTTTGGGTCCACGTATTTTGATGATGCAGGAGTATTGCCGCATCAGTGGGTGAAGCTTTTTGCCCCTGGGCTGGGATCCTGTGACAGCTCGGCTGGACGAGGTCAAGGACAACTTGTTATCCTGCTGCATTTGCGTGGGCACATCAACGACGCCCACCTCCAACAAGAGGCGGTGGCAAACTTGAGCAATGGTGTGGCACAGCGCATGTGGGTATTCAACTTCAAGTGAAGTAGCCCATTGGGCTCCAGTATGGCCCCAAGGGAGATGTGGGTGTGCTCCATCACACTGTCGGGCCGAGGCGTGAAAGGCTGGATGATTGCACAGAAATTTTGTGCTTCTTCCGAGGCGCTCCATACATGCAGCGGTGAAAGCAAACTTCGCGCAGGTCATGTAGCGATCCAAGGTGTTGAGAAAGACCGGATGTGGGCCAAAACATGGCATGCACACATGGCAACCCTTGTTGCAATCTTTTCCTGCTTCTGCGAAAGTACAACCACGACTGAGGTTAAAGTTGTAGGATATCCGCTTGCCAGACTTCAGCGTCTGGTTTAATCCGACAAGCTCCACTGGCATTTTGCCACGGTTCTTGAAGCGCCCTTTGCCCTTGCCTTTGCCATTGTTGTGGCTGGGTGTTCTCTTGGGCGACTGGTCTTTGCGGATTGTTGGAGTTGGCTTGGTTGGTTTGTCTGCAACTTTGCTCATGGGTAGAGGCATGAGGTGGAAGACTGTACTTGGGTCAGTCCGGAGCTCATCAATGGCTGCATCTAAAGGGGGTCGCCCATCAACCTGGCGCTTCAACGAGTCCACCTTCTCAGCCAATCTTACTCAACCAGCGCGATCTGCCCGCAATGCTTGTTCAATTGTGGGCGACTTGTACCCCGGAGGTGCGGCAACTAACATTGCATCCATCAAAAATCTGTGCCACCCCTCCATGCATTTGTAAGTGCAAACACCCATCAGATCGCACGCTAGAGATCTTCTTGTCAAGGCTTGAAAAATCTGGAGCTCGTTCTGCATTGGACACTTGTCTTTTCTCTCAATGTCCTTCAAGGTCAAGTGACTCCAAGCTCTTTACCGGGCTTCTCCTTGGAGACTTCTGCAGCCCGCGTAGTGAACCGATGAGGCTCCAAATACGAGGGCACGTTGTTCTCGATCATTTTTGCAACGTAATCGTATGAGGAGTGGCTGCACTCATACGGACCAGTAAGTTCCATGCCAGAAAGTTTTTCACGTTGCGCCTGAATGCGCTGCGCCCGTTCTGCAGGGACAAGTTCGGCCTTTTTTGCTGCATCACTACCTGCCAGCACATGCTTCACTTGTGCCGCGGATAGGGTTTGGGCGTCGAACATGAGCTGACGTATTGACGCCAGCTCTCCAACTGTTACCTGATCTGGATCATCATGCAAGAGGGTCTTCAAAGCCTCGTCTCCTGGCGCAGTGCCAGGCGTAGCCAAAGAGAAAGCAAGTTGAGATAGGCTGTTGATGCCTTGCCCCTGGAGTCGCTGCGATTGGCCCTCAGTCAAGCCATGCTCCAAGGCCCTCGCCGCAAATGCGGCAGTCGAATCCAGGATTGTCGCCATGACTTCAGCTACAGAAACGAGGGTTTGCAAAACAAAGTCATGGAGAAGTGATGTCAATGATCAGTATCACAGTGAAAACATTGCCTGATAAAGCACATGCTGATCAAAAGATATTTTTTTGGGCCTGTGTACACACACACACATTCACCCTTGTGCGGTCATGCTGGACATCCCATGATCGTGAATGCACATCAGTCGGTAACATTTCCGTGTGCACATGCCACACATTGGCATGACATGAGAACCATCTGTGGCAGCTGCACACGCTTTTTTTCTATGCGTGCCGAGCTCGCTTCACAACAGCCCCAAGGGTCCGGGCTTGGGCGATCATCACGCACACCACGGGCTCTGCGTTCGCACTGTTGACACTTCATAGAATCAACATCCAGCAATGTGCAGCATCGATAGTCTTTTGTAAGTTGCTGACCACACAGGAAGGAGTGGCCGAACAAGGACAAGGTGCCTTTGAGTCCCTGTGCTGGTAAATTTTTACATCAGGCCGGTCACTACAGGCTTGTGCAGCTGGCTCAGGATCCAAGGCAACTGCATGCGGTTTTGCATTGTTCTCTACAACCTCATCCAGGCAACTGTCCTCGCTTGAGTCAGAGGACGATGATGAAATGTCATCTCGAAGGCTCTCCGTCCTCGCTGCCTCCGTGCGCTCATACTCAAGTTTTCTCAGCGGCCCCAAGTGGTGTGGCGACATCTTGGACTGAGTGTTCACCGAAAGGGGAGTCCCCAGGAGGCAAGTTGGCCACCGGCAGTGGGACATCAGTGACTTGGCCCGCTTCAGGATCAGGTCGTTGGATCATTCCCGATCGGGTGCCGTCAGGCCTAAAATGGCCATTCCTGATGTCCTTGAACATTGCTTCCAAAACTCTGAGTGGGGCGGACTGCACGTCTCTCGCATACACCTTAGAGGCGGCCTTGTTCGTCTGGTGGTGTCCAAGCACCAACCTGGTGTCTGGGTCGGCCCCATACTTGGCCAGCATGGAGAGCGTGGTTGCTTTGCAGCCGTGTCGTGTAAACTGGCAATCATCAAAACCACTTCCGACCAGCAAGTGCTTGATCCATCGCTTGGTCTCACCCGACGTGACCGGTCTCGAGGTCCAATCACCAATCTTACTTGGTGCAGGCAAAAGAGGGCACAGTGGCGGCCAGAAAGAAAAGTCAAGATGCCCAAGCCCTTAAGAGGTGCGACTAGGGGAAGGTGTGCGCCCAATCGATTTCCAGTTGCACGCATCTTATGAGAGGCCGAATCCATCTCTAGATAACCAAGTTGATCTCTCTCACCTTTCGGTGCCTCGTCAATGACAATCCCTGCAATCTGCCTGAGGTCGCCAAACCTGGCACGAGAATAGGTTGCAAAGAGGATCACCCCAGCCGCATACCTGTCTACCAGTGCCACCGTCTCATCTTCCAGAATGGTTTCGAGGTATTGCAGGGCAGAAACAGTGAGCACTGAAGATTGTTTCCTGAGTGGTCGGTTCTGGGCTGCAGCTCGGACAATACCGGCCACCCAAGCACTCTCAAATGCCTCCAATTGGCGGCTCAGGCCAACAACATGCTTGGCAAATCTCAGGACCTCCAAAAACCCTTGCAGCCTCGAATGCGTCGCTGACTCATTCCTGAGGTGTCTCACATTGTTCTTTATACCCTGAGCATCGAATATTGATCCTAATCAATTTATTCACTACTTTTTTCAATTGATTTTTTGTAGATTGATTTGAACTGATTTTTAAAAAGTCTCAGATTGAAAAAAATGATTTACAGATTGATTTGTAGATTGGTTTGCACATTGATTTTTGCCTTCGAAAACCTTCTAATTTTGTATTGATTTTTTGATTTCCAAATTGATTTTTTTTGGTGGTTTTCAGCTTCCACTGATCAGCCACTGCAGCATGCTGCAGCCATTTCTTTTCAAGCAATCAAACTTGACTTTTGCAAAAAAGGTATACCTTGCCTCCAAATCCAGAAATCCTTGAGAAAGGGTCTTTTACAAATCTTTGTGGAAGGGGAACCTTTGGGAAAGGGATGGTAAGCAGAGGTGGCTCAAGACACAGGTCTAAGCCATACATCGAAAGTGGGCTTTTGATCAAAGTGCTGCTAAAGCATGAAGACATATAGGTGAATTTCAAAGGGTATGAAAGCTGCAGCAGGAACAGTGGAGCTGACCCAAAAGGGTTGATTTACTGTTTAGATCTGGTAAATGATTTGCTGGATCTGGAGGCATCTGCAGAAATCCACCCTGCACCCTTGAGGCAAGGCTTGCTCCACATCCTAACCCAGAAGCCCAGCCTCAAAAACACTTGCCAAAGTGGTAGCCTTTGGGTTCACATGAGATCAGAGAGGCTGAATGTGTTACTCTTTCACATTCGAAGACTAGCCCAGAAGTGGGCCAACACAAGCCTGTGTGAATGCCCTTTCTGGCCAGGAGCTAGGGAGGCTCCAAAACACTTTGAAAAAGGTGGCTATTCAGGAGCCTGTGGTACCATTAAAATGAGAAGCAAGAGGAGGAAGAGGAGGAAAAAAGGCCAGAAGTAAAAAGGCTGAAAGGAACCCCCAGCGATGTCAGCTGTGATTCACAGGGATTTCCAAATATGCTCAAAAGCCCACAGCAGAAGCAAGAAGTCATGCCCAGCAGACTCTTGAGAAAGAGGGTGAGGCAGGCAACTAGAATTCAAGAGATTGAAAAAGATAAAGGCTTGGGAGAGAGAATGGGCTTTGAAAAGCAGAAGCCTTACAAGAGGCCAGCTGCAAAAGCCAAGTCCAGCTGCCAAAGACCACCTGCATTCAAAAAGCCAGCAAGCAGTAAAAAAACCCTTGGGAAAGAGGAAACCAATGGAACCTTTGCAAGAGGGTGCAGCAAGAAGCAAGGACAAAAAGCCTTGCAGGGTGATGGGCCATGGCTGGTTTTGCAAAAGACAGTGGGCAAGAAACCAGAAAGAGCTTATGTGCAGGGCACCAAGGTGGCAGGCCTGAAGCCCAGACTTATAGTAGAAGTCACCAAAAAAGAAGTCAAAAAAATACAGTTGGGTTTTGGACAGGATCATTGACTCCTTGAGCAAGCCAGAGGCAATAGCACTCAGAGAGAAAATGTGCAAGAGGGGGAAGCAAAAAGCAGCACAACCTTTGCAAAAAGGTGCCTTTGAAAAAGGGGTTGCCTTTGCATTGGCACCTTTGCAAAAGAGAAACCTTTGAAAAAGGGTTTGCCTTTGCAGCATAACTTTGCAAAAAGGAACCTTTGAAAAAGGGATTGCAACAAGGAAGCCTTTGAGAAAGGGCTTTGTACAGTCTTAAGACTCTTTAAAACTGCACATGCAGGACAAGCCATCAGGGGTTGCCTGAATATTTTTTGGGGGTTTGAGCAAATGCAGCACACCTATTAAATATAAATGTTTTTGGCATGTACCCCCCTCAATGGTATTGTGGGTTTGGTTCAAACTTGTGAATTTTAAACTTTGAACATGTCATGTCTGGTGAACCATCCATGTGCAAGTGAAATTGTTTCCACTCCTGCAGCCTTTTTGCTCAAGACTTTTTTCCAATTCGCAATCCCAGCATTTCAACCTTTGAAAAAGGGCCGCCTGTGTTTGACAACTTGGAAAAGGGATGCTGGAAACACCAGTTCCTCAAGGACTGGACCAACCCTTGCAACAAGGGGATGATGAATGGTGGCCTGGCAAAACACTGACCACAAATTCGCCCAGCTGGATGTGGAAGACGAATAGGAAACACCTTGCAAAAGGTGATAACAAAAACAAGGCTGGCAAGAAACTTGGCAAGGGGACAACTTCCAACATAAGGAAGCTCCAAAGGCTACACCTCCAGGACAAGCAGCCTGAAGAGAACTCTTGGGAAAGAGGTGGATGGGAAAACTCTTGGGAAAGAGGTGAATGGGAAGACTCTTGGGAAAGAGATGGATGGACAAGTGGATGGGGCAGAGGTGGATGGGGAAACTCTTGGGAAAGAGATGAGTGGGGTTCCAGCTCCTGGAAGGATGCATGGGATGAGGAGGAGGAGGAGAAGGAAAAAGAGGTGGAAGAAAAAGGAGGCCACCCACACTCCCTGCACCCAAGCAAAAAGGAAAAAGCACAAACAGCTCCAAAAACAGCTCCAGGAGCAGCTCCAGGAGCAGCAGGGGAAGTGACACATCCATGGCATCCTCACACAGCAGGGGCCCCTTCTACAGAATGCCAAGGCCAAAGGTGAGGAAGGAATGGAGGAAAAAAGAAGAAGAAAGGCAAGCCTGGCATGACAGCTGCAATCAAAAAAGCAAGGAGCTGGGCAAGATCCATGAAGAGAAGGAAAGGAGGGGGAACCCTTGGTGAAGGGAAGAGACAAGGTAAAGGAGAAGGAACCCTTGGTGAAGGGAACAACAATAGCTGGAAAAGAACCCTTGGAGAAGGGAAGCAACCTGAAAAATGCGGGTGCAAAACCAGCAGCACCAGCAGCATCAGCTGCTGCACCAGCAGCATCAGCTGCTGCAACTGCAGCATCAGCTGCTGCACCTGCAGCACCAGCTGCACCTGCAGCACCAGCTGCACCTGCAGCTGCACCGGAAGCATCCACAGGAAAAAATGAAAAGGCCACACCTTTGAAAAAGGGCAAGGTCATGGTTGATTACCATTGGACCCTGGAAGTCAATGAAGTGATCCCACCTGAAAACAGGACAGCCATGAAAGTACTCTTGAAAAAGGGTTATGACATTGTGGTTTGCACCTGGTGCTTTCCCAAAAGAAGAGAAGAGGTGCTTGCCACTCTTGAAAAAGAGGATTGGTTTACCAAGGTAACCTTCATTGCCACACAGACAAGGACTGGTGATGGAGGCAAAGCAGCCATTTGTAAGGACACTGGCTGCACAGCCATCTTTGATGATGGCACTGACATCTTGGAAGACTGTGAACAAGCTGGAATAGAAGTATTCCAGGTGAAAAAGAAAACAGGGCCCTACAAAGGCAATCAAAAGAAACCTTTGTATGAAACCCTGGCTGGGGCAGTGGAGGAATTTTTGAAAAGGAGAAAAGACCTTTGAAGGAAGAAAGCTCCAGCACCTCACCTTTGAGAAAAGGTTGGCAAAACAAATGCAAAGATGGATCCAAACACCAAACACCTTTGAAAAAGGGTGCACTAAAACAAAACTCACCTTTGAGAAAGGGTGCAGCCAAAAGCAAATACCTTTGGGAAAGGGTTAATTAAAGAAGCAGCTGCCTTTGAAAAAGGGTCAGTTTCACCTGCATGTTTTGGGCCAAGAATATAGCCGCTGCCACTGCCAGACAAATTGAAAAAACTGTACTTTAACCATAGCACATCTATTTTGTTTATAGCCCAGCTGCTGTTTCCCAGTATGCAGTGGCAGCAGTTTGGCATAAAGACCTGGAGGCCAAACAGGCCAACCAACCACATATTAAAAAAATAGAATGAATGTATGAATGAAATAATTTAAAAGATAGTTAAAATATATCATTAATAAAACTGTTAAACATCATATATATATATATAAATAATGCAAAGCTTGGATACCAAACCTTAAATATACCTACACAGGTGGGCATATATTATTTCAAAAATATATTTATAGAGAAACATATGTATGGGATAATATCTGTATATATAATAAGAAATATTTGTGAATGTATATTTATAGTTTAGTTTTATTTAATTAATTGGGCTTCAGTTTTTGGGGACATATCCAATGATTCTGCGTTGGTTTCTCCAGTTGGGTCAGGTTTTTAAATCCTTGCAAAAGGGTTGCAATACAATTTTCAAGCAACAGTTCCAACCAATTAGAAAAAACAAAGAAAACCACCAAGCCAGGTTTTCTGATGAAATCTGATGAAATCTGATGAAAACATTGTTTTCATCAGATTTCATCAGATTTCGTCAGATTTCATCAGAACTGTTTTTTTCTTGTCACCACATGCCCATGGAAAAAAACACATTGAAAATCAAATAAAGTCCAAAAAACATGCACCCAAAACCAAATTGCATTGCAGCCATTTTGATATCAAAGCTCCTTCTGTACAGCCCTTTTGTTTTTGCAGCAACGGGGAAGCCAATGAAGGCTATGAAAAAGGCAATGAAATCAACCTCTGCAAAGGGGAAACAAACCTCTGGGAAGGGGAATCAAACCCTTGCCAAAGGGAAGAACACCTCTGCAAAGGGGAAACCAGCCTCTGCAAAGGGGAAACCTTTGAAAAAAGGTGCAGTCCAGAAAGGAATCTTGAAGAAACAGAACTTGCAAAAGTTGGGGCAGCTGTCCCTTCAGGACAAAATCAAACAAATCGCTGAAACCAATGATGATGAACATGAAGCAGCCAAGAAGCTGCAAAAGAGTATGGCCACAGCAGAAAAAAACAGGACATGGTCCAAACACCAGACCCACCCCAACAAGAATGGCAATGAGGAAGAAAGGGATGCATTCAACAATGCATCTAAAAATGAAAAGGGGGAGCTGACAGCCCTTTTCCTCATGAGAAAGGAAGCTGCCAAGTTCTGCAATGTTAGCAGGTCCATTGGCACCAAGCAAGAGGTGACCATGACAGAAAAATGGTTATCAGAAAAAGAAGCCCTGGAAAAAAATGCGGAGCTGATTTGGAAAACATTGCTCCAGTGGCAGGGTGCAGTGGAGGCAGTGTGCGACAACTTGGGGGGTCTATGAGTACATGGACACAATGGGATACACAAAGAAAACCACAGGAACAGCCAAAAGGATCTGGACCCAAGGCCAGGAGTTCCAGCAGAATGAAGATGAATATGAAAGTTCGGACAACTTCTTGGAAAAGGAGCTGCACTCTCTGATCATGGGTCAAACCCCTGGGAAGGGGAAAGGGAAAGGGAAGGTGAGCCAGAAAAAAGGCAAAGGCAGGGGCAAAGGAGATATATACCAACCCAGAGACACCCAAAGCAGATGAGCAGCAAACTGAGTGCCTCAAGAAGCTCAAAAAAAACAGGGATTTGGTGCAGCAATGCATGACAAACTATGAAGAAGCACTTGAAAAAGTGAAAGGCATGCAGTACCTCACAAAGCCTGCCTTCAAAGAAAAGGAAGCACAGCTTTCAAAGCTGGAAACTACACTTGGTAAAGTAAAGAAACAACTTGCAAAAGGTGACAAGGGAAAGGTCAACACCACCAAAGATCTCTTGAAAGAAGCTGTGGCCACCATACCAGAAGCCAAAGAGGAAGCCAAGGGGCTTGTCCAGATCAGTATGAAAACCCAAGTCCAAGAGTTCCAGAATCCTTGCAAAAGGGGTGCACTTTTGTAAAAGAGGAAATCACCTTTGCAAAAGTGCTTGTATGTGTGAACACATATACACCTTTGAAAAAGGGGGCTGCCTTTGCAAAAGGGGGTGGCAAGTGGACACCCCTCACACAGCAACTCTTTCACAAGGGATGGGTAGCATTTTTTAAGTGGCCTGGGCACAAAAGCACCAGGCACAGACCAACCAACATGTGCAAAATGATTGCTTCTGGCTGCTGGTGCTTCTTGGGGTGGCTGTGTGGTACTTGTTGCTGTTTGTAACTAAATGTGTTTCACCATGCACCTAAGCTGCACTTTTAAAGTTTTGTTGCACCCCCCACCCTCTCACCAACCACATGTGTTCATGTCTGCAGCTTTTTGGCTTAAGCCTTGGGTCACAAGCCAACCTTTTCACAAAGGCTTTGCCGACAAGGTGACCTTTGCAAAAGGGGCCAGGCAGCCTTTGCAAAAGGGTGATGCAAGGTGTAAAGAGGCTGAGAGGTGTGGAGATTGAAAAAGAGAAACTCAAACCTGGCAAGAAAACCTTTGAGAAAGGGAAAAGCAGCAAACTAGCCACAGCCCTTCTGAGCTTGTGGGCTCATGGCAAGCTTTCAGCAGCCACTTGCAGGTGGTTAGCAGAGCAAGCAATGCTGGATGGCTGCACCCATCCAGAGGTTTGTGATGTAGCAATGGCAGGAGCCATGGCCTTTATCCTGGCAATGTGCACAGGGATCTCATGGCCAGGTTTGCCAAGGATGTTTTTGTGCCTGAGCCTATGCAGGTCCCAGTTCAATGCCTCAACCCCAAATCCTTGAAAAAGGAAAAGGGTGATCCTTCCACACATGCTCTTCTCCAGCTTGGCAACATTGCCCCACTTCAATGATTTTTTTCCAACAGCACTGCTGGAACAATTCTGGCAAACTCTTGAAAAAAGAGGGGATCCAGCTTTGGAAGGGCACCCCATGAAGACCAGGAATTGGAAAAAGTTCACCATTCCACTCTTTGTCCATGGGGATGGTGTTCAATATGCCAACAACAATTCTTTAATGGTCTGGTCTTGGGGTGCCTTGATGACATGCTTCAACTCCTTGCAAAGCAAGTTCCTGATCTCCTGCTGGCCAAAGTCAGCAACAACTGAGGAGACATGGAATGATTTGCTGAAGGAGGTCTGCTGGTCATTCAGTGCTCTGCTCAATGGCTTGCACCCATCTCATGATTCTGATGGTGCACCTTTGAAAAAGGGATCGCGCTTCTTTGCAAACAAAGGGAAACCATTGGCAAATGGAGACAAAGGTGTGATTTGGGCAGTGATGGGTGGTGCTGAATTTTTTGCATTGGTCCTTGGCCTGCCCCACTGGGCCAGCAAGAGGCCTTGCCATGAGCGCGGTGCATCCTCCAGCACTGCCAATCAGGGAAAGTATTTCAAGAATTTGGAAATGGACACCGAAGCCTTCACAAGGGTGACCCATGCACAGGCATTAGCACATCCCTGCAGTTCAAACCCCTTGTTCAATGCCATCCCAGGGCTGTCAACCAAATTTGTGAGGGGTGATGCGCTGCACATATGCTTTGTGCATGGGGTTTACTCACACCTCCTGGGGAGTGTCCTCCACTACATATGTTGGTTCAACCCTGGAAGACAAAAAAAAAACAGGAGCGGTTAGCAGTGGTGTGGGAAGCCTTGCAAAAGGCTGGACAGCCCAACCAGGTTGAGCAATCTCAGGCTCACCATGTTCACAGAACCCAAGAACCCTCACACCTCATACCCTTCTTTGAGCATTAAGGGTAGTGAGGCAAAACACATGCTTCCAGCATTCTTGGTGGTCTGCAGATCATTGCTGCAAGCTGATGTCTACCAAGAAAGGTGCATGCTGGACTGCATGGAACACTTGCAACAAGTGGTGGATCTGTATGGTGATGCAGACATTGTGCTCACCACTGCAGAGTGGGAGAAGGTTTTTACCCTTGGGAAAGGGTTTTCTGACATCTATTCCATGCTGAATGCATGGGCTGAAGAGGAAGAGAGACTTCTCTTCCATAAGGTGTACAAGCACCATGCACTTCAGCACATGATTGAGAATTCTCGATGGTTGAACCCTAGGTGCCATTGGTGCTTCAGCAATGAAGATTTTGTGGGCAAAGTCAACTTGCTCACTTATAGCATCTCTTCTGGAGTAAGTGCCACCAGGCTGTCAGTGAAGGTAGCCCCCAAGTACCCAGTGCTGCTTCACTTGCTCTTAACTAGAGAAGGCTTTGCAGAGACTGCCAAAGAATTCTCCCCAGACCCTTGAGGAAGGGAAGAACAACATATGCAAAAACCTTTGCAAAAAGGTGCAACAGAGTCTGTATAACCTTTGGAAAAGGGAATGCGACAAAGCCTGAAGCCTTTGGAAAAGGGGATCCAACCTTTGAAAAAGGGGTTGCAAAAAAATGGAAAAGGAAGGCAACATGGAATAGAAGAAGGGAAAGCAGTTTCACCTCTGAAAAAGGGAAGCTGCAAATGGAGAGAATCCTGCCTCCCTTCAAAACAAGGTGAGGAACTTCAACCCCAAGCTCACAAGCAAAAAGAGCTGTGAGAACACAAGGTTAAGTGAAGGGTAACAAAATCAGAGTTCAACAAATTTATTTTTGAATTGATTTGTAAATTGATTTGAATTGATTTATAAATTGATTTGTATATTGATTTGCATATTGATTTTTGCCTTCAAAAACCTACTAATTTTGGATTGATTTCAAAATCATTTTTTCAATATTTTAGATTGATTTGAATTGTTTTTTCTAAAATCAATAGATTGATTAGGAACAATATTCGATGCTCAGGGTAAGCTCGGAGCTGATTTGGAATGGTGGCCTCCTGGCATCATCTGTGGCCCACTTCACATAGCGGCTCAGTTGTGACAACGCTGTCTGATTGTAGCCAAAGATTTTCCGCCCAAAACCTCCAGAACAACTTGGACTCGCTCGGCATAGGGGAGTTGTTCCAAATCAAGACCACGGTCAAAGGCATGATAGTCAATTGAGATCAGTGCCTCCCACTTTTGCGCGAGGAGCTGCAGTTGATCCTTCTCTTCTAAGTGGTGAGTCTTCCTAGACTCAAAAGATATTGCATGTTCAAAGGCAGTGGACTTCGTCCGGATGGCAATGGCGGTCTCAACATGACCACTGTCTTGGCAAATAGGTTCGACGTAACCCAACACTGTAGGGACACTAGGCATGATGGGCCCAGAAACACTCTCATCTGAAAAAACTGCTGCAAGTCCAGGCATTTCCCAAAGCATCAAAATCTCAGGCTTTGACGCACAACTCATGTGTGCTTCTGAGATGGCATCAAGCAACCTCTGGTGGTCCTCTGCACTAAATGCCTCGTCGTTCTGCACTCGACCATCGCCATGCAGATGTAGTGAGTGGGCACCACCCATGCCTCACAAGAGGCACAAACCAGAGTGAACCAATAAAACGTTCGAGCATGAAGCACTATAACATGAGGATGTCACAATACAACACGTTTTGTTGCGACCCCACCTCAAGTCGGGTACACAGGTCCTGACATGAGGATAAACATGGCATACACGACATGGTGTTTCTATGCAAGGTTTCGTCTCCTTGGCACCCTCCACGCTCGAGATGCCCCGTTTGCGGTACCGCTGTCAAACTTTACCCAAAAAGTTTCAGGAGACCAAAGACCATGCACATGGGGCAGGAAATTCTTGAAAGATGACACGTTGTCGAAAATCGTCAGTGACATGCACTAACTGTAGAGCAAACTGAATCCAACGCATATTGACAATGCGCTGAGTACATCACTCAAGGTGCAAGCCTGGGCACATCTAACATCACCCAGGGATGCACACCAAAAAGGGGATCACTACACTGAGTGGGGTGATCAAAACATGCTGAGCACATCGCCTCCACTGCCACTCCTGGGGATCGGCAGACATGGTTTTAGGAATCTAGAGGGCTAACCCACACTGAAACGAGCCCTTGACAACACAAGTCAAAAAGGAGGCATCAGGAGGGTCTGCTCACATTGAGGTGTGCCCCTGCCTCACAGGTACAGCATGCTGGAAAAACACCGTGGCCGGGGCACATGCCAATGCCAACACAACATCACTGGTGTCGACATGGAACACCAATGAATGCACTACATCAGTGCAAAGCAGATTCAAACTGAGTCGAGGACTGCCACCCTACCGAGAAAAGCTGACATCCAGCTAGGGCCAAACCAGACATGATCATGAAAACGCGTGGAAGGGAAAAATGAAATGCATGCACATGTCATGAGTGTTGGCACCATCTGCAGTGCACATGCACCAATGCTCAGCCTGGGCGGCAATCCCTGTCAACACTCTTTTTCGCGCGCGGGCACTGTTGGCCCATTTAAATGGCTCGACGCCCATCGCAGCAGATGAACCCAATCGTGAAAAGCCATGCCAAATGGATCTCAAGAATGCTCTCGAAGGAGAAATGCCAACTAGGTGATAGAATGAGGGCATACTTTTTCAAAAAGGAACCTCGCTATGCAGACCACAAGTCTCCATCCACCAAAGTCAATGCCCAACCAAGCAGAAGCCAATGTGGCCGGAAAGGTTCATCCATCTAACCGAAGCACAGCCCCCTTCAATCTGAGGTCAACACCATCCATTGGACCCGGAGGATCCAGCAGTAAATTTCTGCCACTTTGCTTTCTGAAGATCAAGAGGCTGAAGATCGCGAACCCGTGTCCACAAGAAGCGCCGTGTGGCGTTCAAGGGATCGTGATGTCCGATCTTGGTGTAGATATCGCTCAGCTGGGAAACCAGGGCATCGATCTGCTGGTTCATGTGGCGTTGGTGTACCTCTGAAGGCACGGGTTCTTCAACAGCGTCCGGGATCGCCGGGATCGCCGGGATCGCCTCGGCCGTCGGCACAATGGGGACGGGGGGCTCAGACGAAGGTTCAGGGGCCGATGCAGCCGGCTCAGGACCTTCCAAGGGAGTGTCCTCCTTCACAGTGACGGGTTCTGCATTGTCACGAAGGACGAAGATC